CTATTGCCTGTCACAAAAACAGCTATGGGTTGACCGCGCTATTACCTATGTCACAAAAGCAGCTATGGGCTTACCCAACCCGTGAAATCCAGTAATCCACCGCAACCTGTTACCCATTCCTTATCAGTTCTACCTACACCTTACCCACTCATATGATTTTATTTTGCCGTGCGTAAGCTCTACATCACGGGAAAGGCTCGGTAGTTTCCGCCTGTCCCGATTACTCAGTAGGTATCAGTGTCCGCATTTTTTTCATTCATTAGTGGCGAATTGGGCTGTGATCGGTTTCCGCACTTGCCGTTTACCTCTGACTGGGCTGTCCTGTGGCACGTGGCGGAAGCCGCCCTTCAGTTCAGGTGACGTTAGAGGGCAGGACTGAGCGCACCGAGATTGTGGCGCGTAAGGCTTTCTCTGCAGGTTTCTGCCGATGGCCTGGATTTCTACGATCGAACGGTGGGGCAGCGCCCACGCAACAAGCGCTGCTTAGTGCGGACACTGATCTCAGAAATGCATCGTATCGGAGGGTTCTGGCTAAATCTAAAAAATAAAATAAGTATTTGAATTAAGTTCCATATAAACTTGCAACTTCGTTGCTAATTGCAAAAATGGAGCATGCATGGAGCTGAAAATGATGAAAACAACGCAAGCTCCAAAATTATGTGGTATTCATTTGAGACGCCCAAATAGGATTTCAAAAAAGTCACACCCTAGCCCATATTTTCACCAAAACCGGTAACTTTCCCCTATTTTTTATGCAAGTCTCAAGGGTTTGCCTAATGTCTCAGATCTGTATTTAAAGCCGCCTGTCATAAAAAATGTTTTTATATGCTTTGCTCGTTATCAAATTAGCACTTAACAATGCATCAAAATGCATTTTGCTTGACCATCTTCTTCCCTTCTGCAGGATGTGTTAGCTTCCGTCTCCACATGCCAAGCGCGGAGACTCCTAGCCTTCATCTGTTCGTCAACAGAAGCAACTCTATTTGGCCGGTTTACGGGTACACTTCTCTCTTGTGGTCAGGAGGGCGTGATAACGCTACAAGCATTTAATCCACTGTGTACCGTATTCGACAACAAAATGCACCCTGGAGAAATTCATCTAAACGACACGAGGTCCAATTCGAAATGAGACAAAAAAAAACATGTGCCTACCTAACCCCGCTGCGATCAATCATCGATCGTGACGAGCTGAAAGGTGAAGGTGAAGGGTGAAGGTGAAAGCCCCCTCCGATTCTGTCATGTACCGTCCAGCCCCGTCCGGTTTTCGCACGGTCCCGTGCGATCATGTTCGGTTCCGTCTCCTTCCGTTTAATCCCATCTGGTCCCGTCCTGTCTTGTCTTGCTCCATTCGGGTCTGGCTTGTCTCGCCCGGCCCCATTCAGTTCCGTCCTGTCCCGTTTAGTCCCATTCGAGTCCAGCCGACCGGTCCCATGCAGTCGCGTCCAGGCTCGTTTTGCTCCGGTCCGTCCGGTTCCCCCCGATTCCGTTCCGTGCCGTCTCGTCCGGCTCCCTGCCATGCCTGGGTTCCCAATGCCAAATCCGGCTCCCGTCTGGTCCTGTCCGACCACGACTGGTCCCGGCCGATCCCGTCTGATCTTATCTGGTCTCGTATGATTGTCATGTCGCGTATGGTCCAACATAAATTTCGCATTTTGGTAGTTAAGTGTCTATGTGTTAGATTTGGTAGCTCAGACATATTTCGCGCCAACACTTCCGCGAGCCTAGTTAGTACGGATCCATACTAAGAGGGGAACCGTGTTTAGTACCGATCTGTGCTATAACTGGCGGAGTTTAGCATGCATAGATATGAAACAGCACAGTCCGGTAACCCAGGGCTCAACAACGGCAATGAGGCTATTTGAGATGTTTGATGACATATAATATATGATGGCAAACGTATATATATTTTTTTTTTCTACGCCGTTACACAAGAACAGGTAACCAGGAGTGCCCCTCCCTCAATCCCAGCGACGCAGTAAACCGTACGTTAACACCAGAAAACATAAAATCAAGTCGCGGCACTCCCAGCTAGGAAGATGAAACAAACTTTAAAAAAAAAACAGGCGAGGAGGTGGAGCAGACCCGAGGGAATTGTGTTATGTGAGAGGTAGGGAAAAATCATAGATGAAAAGGCTTAAAGTAGTCATTAGCCAAAATCAGCTAGTGACAGCCCGCTACAACCGCCCAATAATCTACAACCACTCAATTCCCGGTGTTAGTAAGGGTTATACAGTCACAAGTCGGAGGGGACAATTACCTGGTCATTTTTGTGCTGGGTTTTGGGCTGGATTTCCAGGGAGTCCACCCAGCTAAGCAGAGCTTGTTGCTGGGAGAACTCCCGGAGCCAGCGCCATGAATTTGGGTATATGTGCATGACTTTATATCAGAAATTGATTATGAAACATGAAGGAGGTCAAATATGAAGTGCGTTGGATATGTACAGCACAAGGATGGCAATGTCTTCAAATGTTTGTTACGTTAATATGCGTTCACAGAATGCTTGCGAGTGATGTTCTTAACGATGGTTTTCGATACAGGGATATCAGCTATTCTTGGAAATATGGAACCCATAATGTCGTTCCACAGCTTAGGGCCAAGGCCGGATGCTGCATATAGTCTATAATTACGATAAGAGAAAGGTTGTTCTAAATGCTTTGCTCGCCTCATATCCATGTTATTGGATTCGTAGAGATTGTAAATTAAATCGAATGATGCAGGGAGCTGTGAAGTTTAAAATTTGTGCATCACAATTCACATTTGAGATTTAGCAATATCCGATAGTTTCAAAATTTTGTATCGTTTAAAGATTGGCTCTGAGCTTTGCGGAGGATACACATTTTCTATAAGACGCACAGCCCTTTTTTGCAAAATTACCAATCGATCTAGTTGAGAAGCATAATTTATGCCCCAAACCAAGCAGCGGTAATTTAGGTAAGGAAGAATCAAAGTGTTATAGAGTAGATGTGACGTTGTTTTGTCAATAAAGTATCTAACCCTACTTATTATTCCAATATTTCTACTTACTATGCTTGCAACAAAATAAGTGTGGCTTGTAAACTTAAGAGATTTTGTTAATGATTACACCAAGCTATTTAATTTCTTTTTTCTCTTCAATAGGTGAATTATTATTTGCAACAATTAGTCGGAAATGCGAAGAAAGGGTTGTATAATGCTGTGTGAATGTTTTTGATACGTTCAGGGAGAGAAAATTAGCAGCAAACCAAGAAGTCATTAGAAGCAAAAGCGTACTGACATTGTTTTTGAAGTTCGACAATACTTTTATTTTTGAAAACAATCGCAGTATCATCAGCATAAGACAGACAAATCATGTTACTGCTTAATTTAGGTAGGTCATTTATGTACATTAAAAGAGGATTGGGCCGAGAATGGATCCTTGGGGTACCCCCATTATTACGTTTTGATTGTTGATAGATCATTCCTGATTTTTACACATTGAGTTCTGCCAGACACATATGAAGAAATGATTTCATGAGATTTTCGTCGAATACCATAGTTAGTAAGTTTACGTAGAAGAAGGCTAATGTTTACAGTGTCAAAGGCTTTTTTCAGATCTAAATACCAAACCTAACACATATTCCCCATTTTCAAAAGCCTTTGTAATAGTTTCCTGCAGAAGAAGAATTGGCATGTAAGTACTTTTGTTCTTCTGAAATCCGAACTGATTTTGGTAAATTAGCTGGTTTTGGTTTAGATGAAGGACGAGTCTATTATATATGTATATATATGTATATATATATATATATATATATATATATATATATTTATATTTATATTCATGCACTTATGTATTTATGTATATAAATCAACCAAATATAATGCTATTCCTACCATCACTCACAAACCCATGCAGGGTGTTGTCCTTTACATCTTATAGAATCATACACACAATGGTTTTTGATGGGGATCCTCGGTTGTGGAAACTGAGGCCAATCGGTGTGCACCCCTTCACTTAATATTATTGGCAGGCAGGCCTTCCAAACTGCGGACTGCTAAATTCAGCCGAATCTTCAATTATCTTGGTATGCAAAATGCTCAAGTAATGGATCCATGCAATGACTCATATGTTGTACATTTGTCCTTGCTTCACCCAATATCTTCAGCTTAATGCACATTTTAGGGTTAAGTTCACATCTATGACCCATACTCGTAACTCGAATCAAAATCAAGTTATAATGTCAGGACATATGTGCATCCTAACAAGGCTTGTGTTTCGCTCAAGCTGAACCATGAATGTAACCCAGGAGCCAAACATTTAATGGTGAGTTGTAGCCTGAGTCGGTTCACTAGGAAAATCACACTTTGAGTCATGGGCTAATCAAATTATTCACAAATGTTGTGAACTTAATCATGAACTGGTATTTTCTACCAATGTTGCGTTAGTGGCTGAAATTGGAGTGGCAATATCTGGAAATACAACAAGCATTTGCAAAAATTTCAACCAGAAACTGGGGATGTATATATATTCTACCACTACATGTAGTACATTATATATATATATATAATATATATATATATATATATATGTGTGTGTGTGTGTGTGTGGGTGTGTTTGTGTGTGTGTGTGTGTGTGTGTGTGTGTGTGTGTGCGTGTGCGTGTGCGTGTGCGTTGGGTGTGTGGTGTGTGTGTGTGCTGTTGTGTTGTGGTGTGTGGTGTGTGTGTGTGTGTGTGTTGTGTGTGTGTGGTGTGTGTGTGTGTGTGTGGGGTGTGTGTGTGTGTGTGTGTGTGCTTGGGTGTGTGTGTGTG